TTAAAGCTCTATAGAGTAAGTAAGCTAGAGGAAGTCATGTGGTGGTGGTCCTCTGAGTGTCGGAGCAGGCTGTGCGTTGTGCTATAGGCTGTGCGAGCCCCTCCTTCCTTCCGCCCACAGTACCTGCATGCCACCTTTTTCCTGCTTATTGGTTTACCATCACACAGTGAAAAATAAATGTAGTAGTTTGGGAGTTAGACAGAGCACGGTATCACCCATCATCCAAGTATGAGCCATCATGCTGCCCTTTTTTAAAGCCCTTTGGTTTCTAATGAGGCTCATTATACCTTTGTTATCACAGTGGAAATAGCTTATATGGTTGAAAAGGCTTCTGACAGAATTATTCCTATACAGATGCTGTTTAAATGATTTGCTTTTAGTAATCAAATAGTCCACTAACAGTATTCATTTTAGGTCTTTGGGCCTACAGGACAACATATAGACAAACAATTTAGAACTGCAGTAATTCTGTTTTTTATTTCACTCCCATGATACTTTGCTTCGCAGTAACTCGACCACTTCCAGCTGGCTCTCTGAGGCTGGTGCTGGGTGCACATTGAAATCATGACGGAAAACAGAAAGTAATTTTCTCTTAATGAAAACATACACTTCTTGAATCTTATGGCTGCTAATGATGGAGACAGAAAATGAATGTGCATGTGGAAAGCACCTGCAGTTGAAGCCGCACTTGTGAAGTGGATTGATAATGCCAGGTAACATGATGCTCTCATAATGAGCTGTAGCGAGTGACTGTATTTTGAAACAGCCGGAAAAATTCAGTAAATAGTGAAGCTGTCCATTTCAGTACTATATAGACAGTGTCAGACTTCAAGCCTGTTAATCAAACTACGTTGTTAATGCAGTAGAAAGACGCAGATACTTTTGAAATTGATGCAACAGAACCTGAGAAAAAAAAGATGCTTTGGCTTAAGAGGAAGGAAACCTACAACTACCAGAATGCACTGCACTGCACCAGACCAATAAATGCTCCCACTGGTCTGTGACACAATGTGAACATGTCAGTTTGAAACAGTGGCAACCCGCTGGCAAGAGATGATTTCTTATTACAGTTAAACAGTCAGTTAAAACATGTTTCTGAAAACATTTAAGGTGAGAAAAAGGCAACTCCATAACAGAATCTTGGTTTATGTTTGATCAGCGCGGCTTAGTTTTACTGTTAGATCTCAGTTTTTTCAGCCTCTGTTTTCTCTGTGCAGGAAGTAGTATAGAACTTCCTGTTCACAAACTTTCACTGCTACAGCTACACATGGCACTAAAATATGTTTCTAAAACCATTGCAGGTGAGAAACTAGAAAAGCACTCAGAGAGTGCAGACCTCCGCCAAGTAAGTGATATTCCCTCCCCCTCTACATCAGATTTTGCAGCCTGTATCACAGTTAGGTTATATGCATCACTATCATTATTAGGTTATATATGCCTTCACCATGGAGACACTGTGGTGTATTTATTTCGTTTTTATTTTGTACCAACACAGAATATAATGTTTTTTGTATTTTTCACTTTCTTTTTTTCCCCATCACTTTAGAATTACAACAATATTTAGCAAGTAGAACGAGACATGCTTTCTGGCCACCAGATGGCGCTATTTTCACCATCTTGATTGCTGCTGAAGCCGTCAGACCATAGACTTTATTTATTATTTTATCCACTTTGCTTCAACCGATCACCACCCAAATTTTATCATCTGTTCCTTGTCCCATTATCCACCTTTCTTGAAAATTTCATCAAAATCCGTTCATAACTTTTTGAGTTATTTTGCAGACAAACAAACAAACAGACAAACAAACAGACAAACAAACAGACCAACGCCGGCGAAAACATAACCTCCTTGGCAGAGGTAATAAGCAAAACAGTAATATAATCTTGATATATGATCAGCTCTGCCTGTTCTTCTTTAAAAAGATTTCGGTCCGAGTTGGAGAGAGAGCAAGTGGGTGGGTCTGTCTCTTGGTTTCACTCTGCGCTCTTTGTGTCCGTGTTGGTGGCAACATGGGTGGCAAACAAAAATGCAGAAGTACAGCCTGTAGTTTGGGCAACAGCCTGAGAGCCGGTGAAACTATGCCAGATGAAGTAAATTACGTCATCTGGTATCGTTTACGCATGAAACCAACACTGTTTTGACACAAAGATGGTTGAAAATCGGCAAAGTCTCCCTTTAATATTCTGTTGGAATGTTTCCTATACAGTAGCTGACTGGAAGTAAACAATAAACCAAAACTGTCGCCCTGTCTGTCGATAGTAATATGCATGAGAGTTATAATAATCATCTGTTTATAGAGTGATGCAGGAATGACATTTTATTGTAGGCCAATGTGGAAGTTAGTGTCACCCTGATTCCCCTGTCAATAAGCCAGTGATTTTTCCAGTAAATTTTGGATTATTGCAGAAAATAAGCTCGGTGGCAAACAAATATTTGTGACACTTACACGTTTTGTTCAGCAAAATAATCTTCACAAATGACCACCACTTTTATGACTTTTGAAGCATAAATGCAATCACCAGAAGTGTTACTGTAGCCCCTTTTACACTGCCAGATTTTCCGCGAATTTTGGGCCGTTTTGCCGGCCAGCTGCGAGCGTTTAGACACACAAAGCTGGATTGGCGAGTTGATCCGAGGTGCTCAATTTTCCACCTCGTAGGGTAGTCATATTGGCAGAACCGTTTTGGTTTAAACAGAACGAGGCGCCCTTCCGCCACTGGAGGGGCTGTTGATGACTTGTGGGATGAGCTGTTGATGACGCTGCACGTGCGACCCACTGGCGGTGGCTAAACAGGAAACCGCTGATAGCAGGAATTAGAGAGTAGCTAGTAATAATAGCAAGAGGGAAACGCAAACCTGACCGACACTACAGTAAAGATGAGCAACTGAGGAGACAAGGAATCGCGCACCCTCCTTGCCCTTGCAGAATGACTGACTAGCCGCGGCTTCCCTCCCACGTCACTGTTTACGTCACATGCTGAGCTACACGTTTTGTTATTTGCTCACGCCCGGCATTGCCCCGAAAAAGGCGCATTCAGTATAAACAAAAGTAGGTGTAGGTAGCATTTTGCTGCACTCCCCCATTTTGTTTTTGTACTGCCAATGCTGAAAGAAGGCTGATTGGGCTTTCCTGCAAATTTGCACAATTCCTGTTTAAAAAGGGCTTGTGTCATAACTACATCAAGCCTGTAAATCCTGTAAAAAATATCTTAAGCTTGTGTTAACCACAGAACTTATTTCAGGCATCTAACCAAAAATCCTTTCAAAAAACTAGGGATGCACCGAATAGTCGGTAACCGAATATATTCGGCCAAATATTGCAAAAAAACCCACATATTCGGTATTCGGTGCAATAAGTGAAAAGCAAGGCCGAATAATAGTGGCATGTTTTGATGACGCAATCAAACAGCGTGTGGTGACGGACAGAGTAAAATGTCGGCAGTGTGTCGGTATTTCAAAGTGTTGGAGAGTGATAGAAGAAAAGCGTTTTGCAAAGAATGTAATACTGAACTATCTAGAGTAGTGTTGCAGGGTATACTGGGTATACTAAAACACCACCGTACATATGATACCATAATGTTGGAGTAAGGTAGTATTATGGTACCTCAGGTACCACTACTGTGGGATAAGTTCAAAGTCCAATCGCAAGAGGGTGAGTGTCCATGTGCCGTCCAATAACAGCGCACACTGTCCAATAACGGTGCGCGCTGGCCACCTGGCACTTGATATGCCACTGCAGTGGTTTGTATCCAGTGACATTTCAGGTATTAGCTGACCTACTTAGTATCTTTAAGCAGTGGAAGTTATTAATTTATTTTTACTTGTAGGTTAGATTTGTTTATATATGCTGCAGTGATTGTTTTCCACAGAGCTCTACGGTGCGAGCATTTTACTCGCATTTGTGACTAAAAATAGTCTTATGCGAGCAAAAGAAATCATTCAGGAGCAGGCTGTGCAAGTACAGATTTCAACCAGCAGCAGAAACGAAAGGTGAATCCTGTCGGTCGTGGGTTGAACAGGGGTCACAGACACAGACAGGAATGTATTCCTGTCAAATACGGTGGCCATGTCCTCCGAGGCGCAAGATAACGGCTTACCGGCGACGGAGAAGCCCGGCTCCAGGTCCAATAATTTCCTCTTCTTGGTGTCATGACTGTCCAAAAGTACCTGAACAGCCGAGCCGTGGCAGCACACAGGTATGTGACGTGTCAGAGGAGAAACAAGCCGTTCACATTTCTCTCTTTGTGGCAGATAACGGTCCACAAACCTCACCGCACTTTAGGGACTGTTCTTTACTTGTCAGTGGAGGAGGGTGGCTGGTTGATTTTTATTTTATTTATTTATTTAATTTCAATCCCCGCTATGTTAATCACTTATTGATGCCATTTTTGAGGTATGAATAAGTCAATAAGTAATTTATTCCATTGAAATATCAGTGATGTATCATAGAAAAGTGATTTATCTTTTTATAAATGACAAAAGGCACATCTGCCTCATTTTCGCTGTGGTATCGTGATACTATTCAGAACCGTGATACTTTCACTGGTATCGTACCGTGGGTCCCAATTTTGGTACCATGACAACACTAATCTGCAAAAACTAATGAAAAACTAAACAACGGCATTCGGTACTCGGTATTCGGCCAAGCGTTTAATTTTAATCAGCTTCGGCCACAAATTTTCATTTCGGTGCATCCCTACAAAAACCCCGGCCACTTTGGGAAGAGGACAGAACAAGAAGTGCAAACTCATTTCCACGCTTTAAGACTCACTCCTGCAGCAGGCGTGGACAGACATGATCCTACAAGCAGTTTCCACTGTATAATCTAATGTTGCATGTGTGACATACCACAGAGATAAATGACAGACAGTAGTTGGATGTCACGTGCCGTATGTTGTGTCTATGTATAAAATATGTAATATGAGCAGGTGCTAACTAACAAAAGCGAATCATTTAATAAAACGTGATTCAATTTCAATACATTTTATTCCAACTTAAACAAAGAATAGCTTCAAACTTGTGTATCTCTTGGCTGACTATGCTGTGACTGTCCAAGGAGCACCTGGCCAGGATCCAAGTGGGGCTTTGATAAAGAGGTCTTCTGTTTTTGACTGTTCGCAGCTGTAGAGTTGAAGACAGGGAGGATTTAGGGTGGGTGGAGCATGACATAAAAATAATTGTGCATTTAAAAAACTATTTATAAAATGATAGATTATATCGGGTCAAATCAAAAGAATATGTAATTTATCATAATAAGTACGATTGTTCCTTTGCCACTTTAGCGTCTATACAGAATGAGAGGGGATCGTAAACTCATGGTTGATATTAAGCTTTTATTACCTGTCTCTTGTACTTTTCCCAAAGCAACACCTCTTTTCTTTCTCACCCAGCTCTTTTGAACTTTGACTCAAAATGACTTTTATATTCATTTTTGAACTGATATTTGTTGCTGTGCTTTGTCTTCTACCTCTGGCAAAGAGAAAGTATCAGTGACTGATCCAATTACAGAGTGAGCTGGCTTGGCTCACACACAGGCACGATGGAGCTATTCAGTCAGGCCGAGCAGTCGCTAAGAAGTTACAGCACAAAACAGACACACCACTGTAGATATCTGCTCTCTGAGCTCTTGTTGTGTGTGAATATAAAACCACCTAGCTGACTGCAGGACAGTTTTGAAGATGAGCTAATGCTGTCTGATTCTGCCAAACATCCCTTCTTATCCTGTGTAATTTTATGACGTGTAAGAGAAGGTCTGAAAATGTGGGTGGATTCTGAGTTTAGAAGAAGATTTAAGCAGCTCTCAGAGTTCAGCAGCCTCTCTTTATCTTGTTTGTCAATGAGAGAATCTAGCAGTGTGCTGAAATCTCCAAGGCCGACAACCTTTACACAGTCCCCCTCAGAGTATTTGCTAATGATACCAGAAACGGTGTTTGTGTTTCCGCTGCAGCATGTTAAGGGTGAAGGTTAGCACCACTGCTGTATACGTCCCTCTATTGTTCATAGCCTACAGTAAAGAAGAAAAGAATAAACTAGGTCATTACTTTAAACAGGGATTTCCTTTTGAGGCAGCACCACTGTCTGACAGATAAAACAGCGAGCTGTCCCGGGCCGGGGCCCAAACGGCCTCAGTTCCCACACTCCCCTGCACTACAAGGTCTCCATCCCAACTGTTTGTACTCGTGTTTGGATAAGCATCTCTTCTGTGAAGTGAGCAGACCCCTTGCAGCTTTTCCTTTCTTGCTCCACCCCAATTCATGGCTCACATCAGTGCTCAAACCGGAGATGCACTGATAGCATCACAGTGATCAGTGTATCCCTCCAAGCGATCAGGTCAGCACAAGGTGAGAGTTAGATCTGTTGGGATGGAGCTGTTTGACACGTCTGCTTTGAGCAGCTCTTTCACAGTAAACCAGCGGTGATGAACAGTTTAAGTGAAATGCCTGGTCAGATATGTTGTGCTGCTGAAACGATTGTTCAATTAATCATTCAGTCAATCATCAGAAAATCCATCAACAATTTTGCCAACTAATTATTACTTTAGGTCATTTAATAAACAAAAATATCAAACATGATCTGATGACAGCATCATATTGTTAATTGAGCACCTTGACCTGTGGACTGGTGGTCAAACAAAACAAATAATTTGAAGGTGGTACCGCTGTGTGGTCCAGGAACTAGTGATGGGCATTTTTGACTATTATAACACTTTAGAGACTAAACAGCAGTGGACAAATTAGTAATTTAAGTAGTTGTTCACAGTAACCCTATAGTTATGTACATAAGTATTACAGGTACCAGACTGCCTCAACAAAGGTTGCAAATTCCTGAAGTGAATTTGCAGAGAAATAACTTTTTATAGCATGGCTTGATCATATACTGTAAAAATATTTAGTGTAGCTACCATGACGTCACCCGCTGGTTTATGGACTCCCATTTTAAAGCTTCGAGCTTGGCATTTTGGCCGTCGCCATCTTGGATTTTTGGAGCCAGAAGTGACCATACTTGGGCGAGAGGCTGGCACAGTGGATGAGTGAGGACCCTATCATCAGACACCCTGTCACTCAAAGCAGCCTGCCCTTGATTATGTGTAATTTTGAGCCTTAGTAAAATGTAAATGGGTGAGTTATATAGAAATGAACCCCCTGCACAGTTGTCGTGAAGGGGAAGCTAGTAGGGCTACTAATTAAGAATTTTCCCAGTTGACCAGTAGTCGTCATTTAGGGCCATTAATCGACTGGTTGCCCGCATGTTTACAATATTGAATTATATATTTTGGGCAGGGCAACATGGTTTGAGTTGAAGGTGTGAGAAAGAATAGTATCAGTAACATTGTTGCAACTCGTCTATAAAATGCTCCCAATTTATTTATAGACGAGATGCGAGCCTTTTTTTCATTTTTTTGATTTCTGTTTAGCAGTTAGGCTCTGCACTGAAGTTTTTGATGTGCGTGAGGACGTGTTAATTATCAGTAACATTGTTAACACTGTGCTACATTACAGAGAAATACAAAACCGTACTAATGAACCTTCATTAATATAGGCCTATATTTTATCTACAAGTGCACGTCACACACTGAGCGAGCCGCCTGTTAATGACGCTGTCGGCAAAGCAGTAATGATTGTGCTAAGTGGTTAATGGGCATGTAGCTACTTAAATGTTTCAGATGATACGTCATGTTTGTAGTCGACCAATGAAGATGAGTTTACATATCACCTTGGGTTCGTCCTTCACCTTCTCAAAATGATCCCACGCTTTGGATTTCCTGCCCGACATGTTATTAACTAGCCTGTGGAATAACCACAGGTACCTGCCCTGGAAAGTAGGGGACATACACATGCCGCGTCTTTAACCGCTTGGAAAATGTGACATCTGGCTTTTTCTGAGAGAGCGCAGTGGCAGGTTGCGTCTGAGGCTGCTAAGCAACCCTAACAAGCATTGTATAGCCTATTTACCTGTAAGGTGCAGAGCTGATCTTCTTCCAGATGCTGTTTATAAGTGTGTAAGCGTATCGTCTGTGGGACAGATGTAAAGCTCTGGATAGCCTTGCACTAATATGATCAACTTTTCCAAATTTATCAGACTGAATATTTACAGAAGAAGGGGATGGTATCTGTCAGCTGTGATTGGTTTGTAACATGACTCCTGTCTGACTGCTGAGCGTGGCCTTTTCCTGTGTTTGTACTTTCAAATTAAATTCCCACATGGTCCACTCATATAGGTTTTGATTTATTTTGACAAGACGCAGCTCCTAATAGAGTTTCAAATTTTTGTTTGTTTTTTCGTCGACTATGCGACAAGTGGAATCTTGCCGACTAATGACCTTTCTGGTCGAATAACGTTTGGTCGACTGGTAGGGGGCAGCACTAGAAATTAGCTACAGACACCAAAACCATTTTTTGTACCAGGCTGTAACCATTTTTAATCCTGCTGTAAAGTTGGGCATTTTAAAATGAGGCTCTATGGGGAAAGACTGGCTTCTGGAGCCAGCCTCAAGTGGCCATTTAAAAAACTGCAATTTTTAGTACTTAGGTGTTCGCTTCATTTTTCTGCCCAGAGGTTGCTGCTTGGTCTTGACTGGAAATGTTGTAGTAACATTGAATCAAATTACTCCTTAAGCAAAGTTTGTATATGAGCAATGCATTCCACGCCCCTGCCACCAGTTTTCTCTAAGGTTGGTGGCAGAGACACATGTCAACAACCCATTTTTACATTTTTATGTTATTACATTTTATATGCTCATGTTTTATTAGGAAGGAAATGCACAAAACTTATTTTATTAATTAAGTCTTCATGATTCATTCGCACATTGAGTTCTGGTAAGAAACACTAAATGTAAACATAACTTGTATTTGCTGACGAGAAAACTCCACAGACCAGTTGATGGTATCTTGATTAGGTCTGTTTATTTTTTTGTGCTTAGTGGAGCTGAAAATGAAGTTTTGGTTTCATTGGTTTATGTGAACTGAAGACTTGTAGCAGGTAGATGGTTGATAGTTAGCATGGATCACTGGTAAACATTACAAAATGTCTACATCGCCTGGCAGGAGCTTATAGGTGTCAGCTGCTTTGTAGTGTCCTCAAGCAAGACACTGAACCCCAAACAGCCCCCACTGAACAGAGTGATGCCATGCATGCCAGCTCCACCACCTTCAGTGTGTGTACAGGGGTTGTTGTGAGACATTGTGAAACACTTCCAGGATAAAAAATGTATATAAATTTAGTCAGTTTACCATTTATTGTGTGACTGATGGAGGTGGCAGAGTGACAGCGTGAGGTCAGTCATCCTGGTCATGGTAATTCTTATATCGTAGGCAACTGGACTTGCTTGAGTTTCTTGAAGACGTTTCACCTCTCATCAAAAGGCCTTTTCCATTCTAACTGACGAGAGGGGAGTCGCAGGCTTTGGTCAGTCCCTCACTTTCCTCTAGAAAGGGGCCATTAAAAAAAAAAACAGTTAAAATGCTTTTGAAGCCTGCCCTCTCTGTCTGATCAAATTGCTTGAGCGACAACGGGCTGTTTCTTCACTTGTACTCCACTTGGCACAGCTTTATAAATCCATTTGATTTCATAATGGAATTTTCATTATTTATGATTCTGTGGCAGTCGTGACAAAACTGCAAGCATACCACACCACCTGTGAAGCCAAAACACTGAGGCTCTCTCAAGCCTCCACAGAAGCATTCGCATACTGTACACACAACTTTGTTTATCGTTGAGCTGTAAACATGTGGTAGAGGTTTGTATTGTGGACAAGAGATGGAAATTCTTAGCCGACAGCCTTAGTTGACATCAAAAACACTTATTATGTAAAAAGCATCATTATGTGATGCTATGGCAGCTGGCCTGGAGTTATTGTGCATGCCTGCTGAGGGATGTTTTTTCTACTGTCTTTTCCACTGACTGCATTCAAGAGTCAAGTTTGTCCCTTTTTACATTAGGTGTTGTTTTTTTTTTTTTTTCTTTTATTAAAGATATTTTTTGGGGCTTTTTAGCCTTTAATCGATAGGACAGTCAAGCTTGAAAGGGGGGGAGAGAGAGAGGGAGTGACATGCAGCAAAGGGCCACAGGCTGGAGTCGAACCCGGGCCGCTGCGGCAACAGCCGCCTTGTACATGGGGCGCCTGCTCTATCCACTAATCCACCGACACCCCAGGTGTTGTTTACTAACATGCATGGTGCTCACTGTCTCTCCTTCCCTTTTACTTACTAGTTTTTTTTGTTTTGTTTTTTTTTTTAAATACAATAGGTTATTTAGATAAATTCATGAAAACCAGCTGCATGTCTGATTTAACCTTTTGAAACCTGAGCAAATTGTCTTGATGTCTTTCAAAATTAATCAAAACCTGATTTAAAATTAGCAAGAAATTAGTAAAAACAGAAAATTGAAATAAGGACGTTAGTGAAAAAAAAAAAAAAGAAAAGGAAAGGAAGTTCAAAACAAACATACAAGGAAATGCCCTGGAAAGAGAGCTTAACAATTTAAATATTTCTATAACGTAATTTTAAAATATAATAATAATAATAATAATAATAATAATAATAATAATTATTATTATGAATAGTTGTTCTCTAGCTTTATTTTTTCCCCCTAGAATTATTGTTAAATCATTTTCTACATCTTTTTTTTTTAATTTCATTTTTTTTTATTGTAATTTGTGGGACATTTCTTATCAAGTTGCTCACTGCCTTGTTCCCCATGATTTTCAGGGCTCCAGACTAACTTCTTTTAGTTGGAGCACTGTAGCCCCTTACTAAAAATTTTAGGAGCACAAGCAGAACATTTACAGGCACGCCTTTAATTGTCCTGCAACGCAGTTATTCACATTTTTGGCCATTTTAACTGTATCGTAAACTATACAGAGTCTACTGTATATTTACATTCGACTGTTTTTAAGAGACTTGAGACTTACAGAGACTTGTGGTCAGTGGGATGTGAGGATTCTTAAACTAACATCTGTAAAGATGTGATGCCCTGACTGTATCCAACTGATCTTTAATGAAAGGTGTTGTCTTGTATTTTTTTCCCTCTGAAAATATTAACCTTATAGTCAGACACAATTTATTTAGCTGTGTAGTTGAGGGGGACAGGTCTGCTCTGCAGCAGCAAACTGCTGTGATGCTGATTTACATGAGAATCCATGTCAAATGGAGGTTAAACCATTAACATAAACAGATCGCCTGTAAAGCATTTTTATAAATTCATCTATCATAATTAAAACAATTGGAGACTGAGAACAAACCGATATGAGTCTGATAATATTTCAAGGATTGTAATGTATGTAAGTAGTGCCCATTTTATTTGGGTCCTGTCCTTACTTACAAATAATTCTGTTTTTAATCATGTGTAGTCTATTCTATAGATATATTAATACATTTTTGTTTAGTCACAAAAAGGCTGTACATGGGATCTATACCTTGTTATCTGAAGGAACAGCTGAGTAGGCACTATTCATCAACTTATATGACTTATATATGAATATGACAGCAGTGATAGTTAAACGTTTCCACGGCAATGAGTAAAACGGTCTTTAGAGCCTCCTATCAGCTGCTTGCAGTCTCTGCCCTCGCAGACTTGACGTGATGACAGCAAATACGTCACACTCTGTACAACTGAAGTCCTCAAGGGCTCAGTCTGCAAGTCCAGAGGGTGGACATTTGGATTCAGCCCCCAACTTGACCACAGCTTGTTGTCACCTCCTCATCCTGCAGCCACCTGCTCTTGTCCACTCTCCAGGCGAGGCGCAGTTCAGCTGGAACAACCCTACTGATGAGTGTAGATGACGTGATCCTCGCGGTTAACTAATCGCTCACTCCCACACTTTCCTCCTCTCACACACATAGGCCCATACTGGCGGACTCACTCCCACGTTTGACAACATGGAAAAAAAAAACACCTGCAAATTTGCAGGTCGCACACGAGCGAGTAGTTGAAAAAAATACTTGCACTGACTCCAAAACTGCTCATAAAATGCGACCATTTTGTGGCAGTCTTGAGCCATGTTTTTGAAGGAAAATGCATGAATTTGCTCAGGATTCAAAGGTTTAAATACTTGCGAAAGGTGTCTGAAAGCAGAACAAGAAAAGTGATATTGCTCTCCAGGTTTCAAAGGGTTAAAGGTCCCACAAAGTAAAAACTAAAATTTCCACATCTTTTTTTTATTATATAGCTGGTAAAGCTGTTGTATAAACAATGTAAAAAGTATCAAAAAGCTCAGTCCACAGAGAAATGCACAGTCCATATTCAGAAACTCTGCCTTTAAACGGGCCATGAAGACTTCCAGGAAGTTGTGATGTCACACAAAACTATATAAAGGTAGAAACTCCCGCCACAGTGCCATTACAGTCTAAAATGACACATTTTAGACAGAGGCTGAATACAGGTATTTTAAGGCAGACAACATGAGAAAAATAGTGCATTTTTTTTATTATTAAAGCATGTAAGCATGTTCTAGTAGAAACCCCAAATGTAAATATGGACCTGAAAATGAACATAATATGGGACCTGTAAATTGATAATGGCAGATAAATTGTGTTCACTACAAGCAGCACTTACCATGGTAACACTTATTACCAACCTTTATTATTAAATTTATGTAAGTGTTTGCTTTACATTACATTGATAACAGTGTTGAAACACCTTCATGTCCTTAAATGAACTGAGCAGAGTTAAGAAAAACAGAGGCATATCTAACAGTAAATCTGTGTGTCTGACCTCACATACATAATGTTAGTCTTACTTCGGTTTGCCGTGTCCCATCCAGTTTATGCTTGGTTTATTTGAGGTTTGAGCTGCAGTTGTCTGAGACAAATTGAAGACAAGGAAGAAAAATAAACATCAGCGCACGACTTGCATGAACGCATTAGTCTCTCCCACACAAAGGGATCCTCAGTTTATGACCTCCCCTTCAGAAATTTAAAAACATATTTGATCCCTTAATATCTGATTTAGTGAATTATTCTGGATGCCCAACACCGGATTGTGATCAAGAATATCAGTGACCTTGGCTCACTGTAATGAATGCCACTGTCACCTCTCTATCAGCAGTGATGTCTCATAATAATTATAGATTTTAAAGTACTTGTTTGACATTATCCCCAGTTTAGACTTTGCCTGTAAATGCCAGAAGGCCTCTGAAGCTGTGCCTGTGGAATGTAAACAAATGAGCGAGGTCAACCTCCTAATGAGGGCCACAGAGGAACGCGGAAGAATAAGTGGCTTATAGGAAAGGGAGCTGAAACGGGGGTAAAGGTCAGAGGTGAAGGTGGAAATGAAAAAACTGCTGCAGTTTGCAAACTGTTGCCATGTTGGGATGGAGAAATCATTAGAACATTTTATACTGGTTCATTTAGACCAGCTTATATTAAGATATTTACATTCTGTCAGTTTGTAGTGATTTAGTCAGAGAGAGGGAATATTAGGAATTAACTGCATTTGTAGTCATAATATTTGTCTTTAATTGTGGAGTATCATTCCCTTTCCTCCACATTTTTCAAGTACAAACTGCTGCACTCTGATTCTGTGTGTTGCTGCTGCATGTTGCATGTTTCACCAGGGTCTTAGCACCGTGCTATCTGCACTTCTCTGACTGCAGATTTGATCAAAAGTGGTGTCTGTTGTATCTCAGCTGGGTCCACATGACCAGATCACATGAAAGTCAAACTGGAGTTAAATAGCACTTTGCAGACACTAGCTGGTCTGCATTCCAATCTCATGTGTTGTATGTGGATTATTTGTGTATGCCGTCAGCGTGGTGTGTATTTGGTTTAAAGAAGTGCCAGCTGGTCAAATAGCGTACGTTTCAGAAAACCAAACTTGATATTGCTGTATATTTTAATACGACCTTACCTGGCATGCTCACAGGTGCATAATTGAGCTTGTGCTGGACTTCAGCTTTCCTGCAGTAGATAAACTTTTATAGAGTCTCGACACTTGCCCAGTCTAAGGAAACTGCTGTGTCCAGGGTTTTGCAAAGTGCCAAGGCTCTCGCACTTTCAGTCAGCCCCCCCACAAACACACACACATACCAACTTCACACATCTCAGTCAGCAAAAGCACACTTTTCCAAACAGAGACTGTTTACCCATCTCCAGCCTTGTAGCGTGAGCCGAGCAGTTAAGGGTGGGAGGGGTGACATAGCCGAGGATCAGCCAACCTTCCTCACGCTCTGCACGTAGCACAACCATTAAAATACTGCTCCCTCTGGAGGGAGGCCAGGAGTCAAAGTTTATAGCAGTTCACTCCTCTCTACTGCTCCAGCCCCACCCCTCTGCTTTCTCTGTCTGTGTGCCCCTCTTTCTCTCTCTCCCTCTCTTTAACAAGCACGCTGACAGGAAAGCTTACTGTATTGCGTCTTACCGACAGGAAGCCCTTTGTCAGCTTGATTCCCCCTCCCTCCCCCCCCCTCATCTTTATGGTGGGGTTTTGTTGCTTTTCGGCTTTGAAGACCCTGATATCGTGCATTGCAGTGGCAACCTGCATCACTCAAAACATGTCAACACAATGTGGATTGACGCAAGCAACTATGGTCAGATGCGCAGGAAAATAACGTTCACACGCATGTGTGATGAATGTGATGCAGGCTTTTTTTTTTTTTTTTCTTTTCCGCTCGCTGACCTTAGAAAGAACTTGCATGCACAGATTTTGCAATACTATATAGATCAACTGTCATAGACTTAATTCTGTGATTCTTTTCACTCCAAGTCCAAATATTTTAAAATATAGTGTATCCTATCATTTCTCTGAGGAGATGATAGCTTTTCAAGATTCAAACATAGAAGGTCTGACAATATTTCACTTGGCACGAGACAAGAGTTTAGTCTGCTGTGCATGTTATAATAATGTTGCCATGGTCTTTGTTGATCCAAGTGCATGGAAGAATGTGGAGGAACTTGCCTTTTGTTTGTCATATCACTGCTTAGACATGGTGCATGAGGGCTGAATCTGCCCTCTGGGCTTGTGCATGTTCACCGCAAACTTAAGCTCCACTTTCAAGTCAGAAAACACACACAGTTGCACGGCGTCCCGCAAGTGTTGGTTGTTATTTCCAGTGCTTATGGTCTGATATCTGATATTGCAGGCAGTGTAAGAACTGAACTTTTTCTCTTCAAACTTCCTGTCTTCCATGGAAGTCTTATTTCAGCAAATACAAGTCTTTGTCACAGTCCGTCCCGGCAGTGCGAGAGTCACCACTTGTGTGTGTCTTAATTCCGAGGGACTCTCCACACTGTTTACACCAAGAAGTTTACAAGAGCTCATAGAGGGTTCACTGCCAACACCCAAGCAGATCATGCGAGTCTTAATAGAGCAGGAAAAGGCAAGGGGAAGTTGACGTGGTGCGTGATATCTCCGGTTTATTTTCTCGCTAGTTTAAAGTTTATAATGAATCAGCTGTGTCATAAGCAGCCACTGCGTGTATCAGTCTGGGCGCAGGTGAGGCAAAGACAATGCCATCTGGCTGTGCCAAGACCATCTGCTGCATCTGCACCACGGGCCAACAGAGACAGTCGAGCTGAATCCACAGGCCAGGTTCTGACTGACTAGAACGGCACTTGCAGCTACATTTGCACCCACACACACAATTTAAATGCAGCCTTGACTGATCCCTCTCTGTGTTCATGCATTACTCCTGCTGATGTGTTTAATGATTCGTATGAGATGTAGATAATGAATGCATACGTTTCTGCTTTCTGTGAATCTCTTTTCATTAATCATGCATTTTCATTTTCCGTCTTTAGGCAATGGTGGCATGTTACCCTGGAAACGGGACAGGATACGTGCGCCATGTGGATAACCCCAATGGGGATGGACGTTGTGTCACATGCATATATTACCTTAATAGAGATTGGACAGCCAAGGTATGTGGATGATATACGGAGGAAATGATGTTCATTGGTACTCGATGATGATTATTCCTGTTTGAACTTTTATGAGAATCTCTTTGTTTCTCTTTTTTTGTTATAAACATTGATTCAATTTGTGATTTGCTATCATCACTGAAGTAACCATGAAAACAAAAATAATTAGCGGCCATGTGTCTGGTGTTCAAATTCCAGTCAAACTTCCCGTCACTCAGGACAAGTCAGCGTAGTTCTTGCCTCCATGGCAGGGTCGTCCTCCTCCATTCTGTTGTATTCCATACCCGAGCAGAGTCAGCAGCAGAGGTTACGTGTCAGTACGTGCCACTCGGCCACTCTCCCTGTTTATAATCCCATTAAAACACAGAGATCCCGCTAATCCAGCCACGCCCTATCAGAGACAAGCGCCCCCATGCTACCTCTCACACACACTGTTCCTCCTACATTACAGTGGATACACAGGCAGAAAAGAAGGAGATTTAGGTGTTACTTTGGTAGTTAAGTATTCACTTAACTGTTCACTTAAGTTAAGTATTTTAGTAACTGTTCACTTAAGTTAAGTATTTTTGGTTGTGTTTTACTGAAGGGATATTCATATAATACTCAAATATCTTCACTGTGAAAAACATATGAGCCTTGTTTTTCCACTGACTCCTCACCTAGTGCTCAAAGAAACCACCTGCCCCAGGTCTGACTTTAAAAATCCTACCTTCCGTCTCACTGCATAATCAGTGACTTTTTTTATTTTTAATTAGAAGCTCAGCAGGTGTCATGGGGGTATATATTCTGTTTTCAGTTTGGGGATTTGGATATTTTTATTTTTATTTTATTTTATTTTATTTTATTTTTTAATCACCTGTACCAATGATATCATTTGCCTTAGAATATATTATTGAGTGTGTTTGTGAGAGTCAAAGTTTGAATGCACATGAACACAGAGGGTGCCATTCCAGTGGGTCAGGCGCAGCTCCTGAACACCAACGTGATTATTCTTGGGGGGTCGCCACTTGAAAAGGTTGAGAACCAGTGCTGAAGAACAGCGTCTTTAAAAAACAATGCTTCTGATTAAACCAAAATAGCTGAGAATGGAGAAATGTCTCGCAGAGTCCTTCCCAAGTCATTTTCAGCCTCCTGCCAAAGCTTCAAATATTTGCTATAAGTTTTAGAGCCAAAGCGAAAGGCATTCAGGACAGCCCTTGTAGCTGCAATAACCTGTTACTTCAATTCCTACTGCAACAGGTTGATACAATCTTAAGAGTACATGTTACCTAAAACAGGTTTCCACAAATTTGTTTGTAGCCCACGACACTTTCCAGGCTCCACATTTTTTCACAACATGAAAGGGTAGAAGGAAATGTAGGCCACACTGTAATGTGCTTTTGTGGTAAATATTGTCGGACAAGCAGTTAAGGAACTCACCTTTTGAATATGACAGAGATAAACAGGATGCTGCACACCAGGAAGGAACAGCACTTTGTATAACAGAAGGCAGCAGCTGTTCAGCAAGAGGATATCTTCATGCTTCTCTGAGGAGCCAGTTGCATGACAAGACACATAAGTAGACAAGCTGCCCTCCAGACTTCCTCACATACTTGACCTTTAGACCTGCATATGAAAATTACGTAATTACAGGAAACTCTGTTTGGCGTCTGGTTGCCAGTTAGTGGTAAAATGCAGGCCATGCACAAGTCTGGCTACGAGTGCCACGGTACACAGGACAGGGCTCAAAAATAAGGATTGCCCGATTGCCCGATTGCCCGGGGCAAGTAAAACTCAAGGTCGGGCATGTAAACTAACAACTCACTTGACCGATCGGGCAAGTTGCTAAAAATAGTAAAAGTTTAGTCAAGTTAATTGATAAAATAAATGTATTTTAAAATGTGCTCCTTCGGCTCTGATGCAGCGGTCTCTGCCTGAAGTCACAGGCACACGTAACAATGTCCTGCCCACAGCCCCCATTGATATTATTTTGCGCAACGGACGCTTGATATAATAACATAACAATATACTATTTATGTTGTTATGTCATCGTGTCATTTCTGTCTCTACATGGTCACGCGTCATTCTCCTCTGCTCTTTGTATCGCGCACAGCGGAGTTCCGCCACACACAGAGGTGAGCACGCTAGAGCAGCTCGAGCCGCATTTTCCTGACCAAACCTGACCCCGAGCCCGATGCAGTTTGTCAGCTGACAAAGTTATTGTTATGGACAGTGTGTAGCCTAAATAACCATCAACACACTGCTGTTACGCACAGACAAACACTAGCACGGCACTCATGCTGAGCTTGTATTGCATTCAGGCGTTGTCATGTAAATAACAACTTCCAGCACTTAAATAGGTCATAGCACAAAACAGCAGCATGTCAAGTGACTTTTTACTTTTATTATATTCAATAAAATTGTATGTTCCTAAATCTTGAGACACCTCATATGTAAGCTAGACAGACATTTCACCTGCTCATTACTGTGCACACATGTACTGTCTGTACTTAGTCCTAAAGAGCCCTTCTGGTGCCAGTAGATACATAGAAAAATCCAGCAGGCTGTGCTTTGCAAGCATACAAAAAAGTTTTACACATGTGAAAATTATTTTTCATGCGTGTGCTTCACCTCCGCTGCTACAACTCCATAGGGGAAACACTGTTGTGTACGTTTTGTGCAACAGGTGGATGTGGTAGTCTACTGGTAGAGTAGAGAGAGAGCTAGCGTTGAAGTAGAGTAGAGCAGGGCAGAGAGATGGAAGCAAAATATACTAAACCCGGTGATAATACAGCAGAACTGGAGAGAGGGGTGAAAAATAAATAGAGGTGGGCATGGGCGCAAAATTATACACGGAGAATGATTGACAAATTTTTCACTTTAAGCCCTGACACTGTCATATTTGTGTAGGAATTAAGCTACAATACATGACATATGTTGTTTTAATTAATAAATACAGTGTGAATAAAGATTACATAACATAAAAATAACTGCAGTCTTTGTTAGTTGATAGCTGCTTAAATTAAACAATTTTTATAGGGCAAGTAAAAACTGACTTCGGGCAAGTAGATCTCTGACCAACTTGCCCGACCGGGCAAGTGGAAAAAAAACCTTAGCGTTGAACCCTGCAGGATGACCATTACTGGCTCATACAAACAAGCAATACGGCAAGTTGAATGCATAGGTATTAGGAACCTGGCTCCTGCTATGATAGGGAAGATGAAATAACATGAACCTCCAATTAAACTGTACTTAAACGATGGAGTAACTCAATCACCATTGCAAATACAATTACTAAGGCTGGATATTTTGAAGTCCACTGATGACCTGCGTGCCCATCATGTCCCAGATGACTATTATCAACTTGTGATTGCTGTTCCTCTTTTTGATGCAGTTTTCATTGCATTTGTTATTGTGAGATTCTAATCATATTTCATAGATTTGCATAGCCTGACTTATCTCACAACGTGCCAGCGCTCGGAAAAGGTCTGGCTGAACCCATCATAAGTCTGCAAAAAACGCTCTGGGTTGTTTGTATTTATTGAAACCAGTCACAATCATCTTGGGCTGTGCTACACCCAGCATGCAGCGACAGTGCTCTTGCAGATTTTGTCAGGAGGGGACTTGTCTTGGTGGCACATTTGCACATGGGGATGCGGGCCCTGGCATTAACAAGGCTAAATCCTCGCAAAAGAAACAGCCACCTAAAACATTTAAAGACATAGCACGTCATGTAGCAACGGGGATTTTGAAGGCTGCTGATGACAGGCTTATACCCACAGTCTACACACTGTGAGCCACACCACATATGACAAACTCCATGGGCACAGTTGGCTTCTTTATTGACCAATGTACCTATAAATTTGATGCAAATATCTTAGCCTGTTCCGAGTAATAAGGTGTCTCATGTTGCTATGAAAACATATCAAAGTGCACCACGCCTTTTTATAGCCAACAGAGGCCAGTAAGTGGCATTCAACCTAACCTGTGACCCTCTTTTGTAGCAGTGTATTACCTTATATTGTCCACCCTGTGTGTGTTGTAGCACTCGCCGAACACAATCACAGTTTTTATGTGAGCACTAAATCTTTTCCTCTCTGCAATGTGCATCAGGTGAGTCATACTGCCCTCGTGTTAATCAACCAAGCTGTTGCATGATATCTATTGTTATGCTCATCCACACAGGCGTTAATTATTCAAACAAGCCATGCTCAGGGACTTCATTGGACATGTCAGTGATTTCAATCTGGTCATTGATTGGCTGTTTATTGGGCGTGTGAGGAGCCGTGTTTTATAGAATGTGGTTGCCTGGTTACTGGGGCTCCATGAGAGAATGACGTGGCTTTGGAATGTTCAGGTTCAGTTGTTCCAGTTATTTAACCCCTAATTTTCAACATCATGTCTCTGCAGCTGCAGTATTAGCTGCATCATAATGAAACTGCAACAGATTACACAGTAAGTCCATCCAGTTTATTGTGTAAATGTATAAAGTATCAACACTTGGTAATCAGCAAAGTCTGCGATATTCAAGTATTTGTTGTATTCTCAAGTCTCTTGAAAGTCTCAGTGTGGTAGATCATGTACCTCAGCTATGCATGACCAGTCATTGCTTTTAAATGTTCCCCATGCGTCCATGTGACAAATATAACAGAAACAATGTGCTGTGGTGGGAGGAAAAAGATCCAGGCAAGCAGAAGTCAAAGTGAAAGGAAATGAATCAGCCTCTGCAAAAACAGGTTCTCTGCAAAGTAGGCTTTAAACAGCACCCTGAAAAGATCAGTTATTTTTAGTGTTTAAATATGAACACCGATAAGATAGAGTGACTCTGTGACTGCTGCTGTTTGGAGAAACGCCGCACTGAGTGAAATAAGATACTCTATGTCGAGATGCAAAAGTGCTTTACAGTGACTTTTTTCCATTTGTCCGTTTTCTAAATTGCTTATCTTGCTCAGGGTTGCAGGGGGTGGGAGTGTTTCCCAGCATGCATTTGGTGAGAAGCAAGGACAGGTCACCAGTCGATCACAGCTGACACATACTGTAGAGACATGTAGACACATTCACACCACTCTTAATGTCATGCATTGACAGTCACGGCTGCAGTATTTAGCAATCAGTAGTCATCGCTCCTGTCATTTCTTCCAGAACCATCCAGCCTTCACACCAACACAGAACACGAATCACATCACTGAAAGTAGCTTTTTTTTTTTTTTTTTTTTTTTCTCAGTTACACCAACATCTTGCAATGTGAGCGAGTTTCAGTGTGTTCCTCTAAGTCGTTCAGATTTGTATCTCTGGGTACATGATGTGACTTCCTTTTGTGAAATGTGTTCTTAGCAGGTATGGTTTCAGATTTGGCCAGATTTCATTAGTTAAAGTTGGACAGAGTGTCAGACATTAAAAAGCTCTTGTTCCTTTCCACTGTCTCTGACACGCCCTAGAAAAGTGGCTATGGCTGCTTTGCAGTGTTCTTATTTATTCAAATCTGAACATCTACAGTTTTTTCAAAGTACATGTTGTATTTTAGTGCCCCTCTAAAAACATTTTACCATGTAACCATGTGACGTAGGTTTTTGCACGTCATTGCTACCTTTAAATGCCCCCTAGTCAATCTAATGTGTCTCTTTGTGACTGAGCAAAGCCTTCTTTAAGAACTGCATGTTAATGATCTTCCAAATTAGCTATATTCCTCTAACCTAAGCTAAGCAATGTACTGCTGTGGGCACCTAAAGCCACACAATAACACAGACAAACTAAGCAATTGAGGCGGTGGTAGACAAGCAACTCCCATGTTCTGTGAGGTAAAATTACGGTTTTTGTCAGTGGACTCTGGTGGCTCTGAAGAGAGCCATATAACGGCTTTAGTTTCCCATCTGAAAGGGCTGTCTGATGGCAAAAGGGTGAAAATATTACATTGACTATGGATGAGTAGAATCTTACACATCCCCACTTAAAAAATCCAAAGGATCGTTTAAATGTTCCTTTAAACAATTTAAGGTTATTATTATTATAATCAGCGCACGCCACTGTAAGGCACACACAGAAAGCATTTTAGCAGCTGGAGGCACCTTTTTGTAATTGTTTTTAATGAAGCTTTTTGCTTGAGGTTTTTGCTTTGCGATGCGCTTTGGCATTGCTGTGCTCTAAGCCTGGTATTTTTGCTGGAGAGCTCTGAACTCCTCGAGTTGAAAAAACGCCCCACGTCATCTCTCTTTTCGTCATGGTTACGACAACAAGTTTACAGTCAGTAAACAATGGAGGAGAAATTGTTGGTAGCAGTAGCTGGATACCCAGAGCTGTACAGCCGGACGATTGACAGCATGTTGTCAAACTGCCCCCGAGTTATCCTAAAATATGCCTGGAAGTGGCCATCATCAAGGTGAAGCTCCTGGACCAACTGGTGGTACTCTCCGGGATCCACCCTCTTTTTTAGGGTCTCATGTACCCACACAGATCTCCGTTTCCCTGTGCCCAACAAACCATTTGCTCACAGCCTCTCACCCTCAACCAGAGCTACAGCAAGTACCCTCTGTCAGTCCATTTTAGGAAAAAGATACTAATTGCTGGGGGGAAAATGGTAGAAGGTTAGTGTAAGGATGTGTTGGTGTGGTTGCCTGGCAACAATAGAAAGGCTCAGCAAGCTTTTTTTTTCCTCCTTTTTTTACGAGTGGCATTCAGGTTTTTTTTTTAAAAAAAAAAAAAAAAAAAAAAGGCGGTGCGCCTCGTGTTTTGCAGCCTGCAAAAGGCTTTCTGTGCGATCAGGGCCTTACCTACATTACTGCCTTTTCCTAACAACTGAGTGGACGTTTCAATTTGGAAAAACCTAGAAAAGCATGTAGATGGAGTCGACCTTTAATACAAAAGCAAACACTTGTCGAGCAGCTACTTTGTCAGAAATACAACACAAGAACAACTGGTGTATCCATTTACAGTGAGTGCAGCCAAACAAACATGCATGGACGTAACAAAAAGGTGCAGCCTGTCGCTCTTCATCCATCAGCTCACTTTGCCTGCATCTTCTTATATCATTCCTTTTTCTATCAATGAGGTTTGTGTGGCTTCTTCATAAGAAAGCTGCCTCGTGTTTTGCCAGCTGAATGTTTTTAACTGGCAGCAGTAGGAAATGTTGGGTTTGCATTAGCAGCTCTGATACGGCTGTCGGAGAGTGAACAGTAAACGGTGAGGCTGATATCAGTAAGATAAATAGTAACTCAGGATGACGTGCATGCCTTGTGTAGGTCATTTCAATGCCGTGCAGGAATGGTTGACATCACATTAACTGTAAGATCTGTGATATAGGTAATTAACAGGTGAAAAAACGTTGCAAGAAAAAATGTCAACCACAAATAATATCAAAAATGTGATTTGTTTTCATAGAAATCTTAAGGGCTCTGACTTTACAGGGTTAAAAGAGAATATTCAGATATCCCCGGAAAACATTGGAGTGGATTTTGGGTAAACGAAGTGTATTCCTCAGTGTGTAGCTCTTCATTAATGTGCCCTTCACCAAGTAGTATTGTTCAGTAGTATTCTCCTACAGTAAAACCTGCTCGGGTGTCATCCTGAGAGACAGCAATAAAATCAAAATTTATTTATTCCAGTGCATTTTTTAATTTTAACAAAACACTTAAAATGTCAAAGGTCAGTCAGTGTCCATTTTGTGTTACAGCATATTCTGACAGCACATTTTTTTAAGCACATCACACCATTGGGCTGCATGTGTTGTCATTTCCAATTGGTCCAGTTCAGCTTGATGTAGGTCAGAGGGTCATGTCCTGCAGGCCAGGGTCAACCTGTGTTCACACCATCATTTACAGGCGGCCGCACGGAATGTTGTCACCGATTTAGATTTACGTGCAGTCAAACAATTGTTAAAATCAGTGGTGCTTGAGGTGCTTACGTGTTACGGAGAAAAAAAAAAACATTCCTCCTGTCTTCTTTGACCCTATTGTGCCTAATTTAGTTTAGTCACACCACCGGTATTCCCCCTCATTCAAAGCAGCATAACTGGGAATAGCATTACTTTTCCGACAAAGGGTGTGAACCTTTTTGCTCTGCTAGTTTGCGTGTGAAGAGAGGGGCCTATCATATCAGCTGTGTGAGAGTTTAAGCAGCATGCTCGCAGCAATCTGCTTTTTCACTCTCCAGGTCCTTTATCCAGCCAGAGCAGTTTTCCTGTGGGTTATTCTTCCTATCCCTCCACAGGAAAGCTGTCCCCCCGCTGCTGCTTCCGATCCTGAGCTTTCCTCCTAGCCCTCGGAGTTGGACAACCCTTTCCCTTAACATTGTCGTCACATGTTCATAATTTAAAAAGCCTGACATGTGAGATACATTTGAGTGGATCTGCCATAGGAGTGATAAATGTAGTTTTTAGGAGACTTCATCTCATTTCCCTGAATGGTTTCCTTGTTATGCGGAATAAAAAAAAATCCCAAACATGATCGCTGCAGAGGCTTCACTTATTGTTTGCTTCCTACAGTCTCTCCTTACCTTCCTGCTATTGCTTTGTCCTGATTTGTATACACAGCAGTTGTTTCTTCTTGTTCTGCTCTTCTAGGAACATGGTGGCCTTCTTCGGATCTTCCCAGAAGGAAAGGCCCAGTTTGCCGACATAGAGCCCAAATTTGACCGTCTGCTGCTTTTCTGGTCCGACAGACGAAACCCACACGAGGTTCAGCCCGCCTTCGCCACCAGGTCAGCATCCAAGTCTGTCCACTGCACGCTCAGATGGTGAGATGTGTTATGCAATGTGACCCACCTCTCTAATTGTCTCCACAGGTATGCCATCACAGTGTGGTATTTTGACGCAGATGAGCGAGCCAGAGCTAAAGAAAAGTACTTAACGGGTAGGTTTTGATGTACAAACGACACAGTCCTGTTTCTATTGTTCCAGGGCCCCAGAGTCTCTTTTTAATGCATCTCTTTTGTGTTTTTGTTTCCTCTGTGTGCAGGTGCAGGAGAAAAAGGAGTTAAGGTTGAACTTGGCAAACCATCAGAACCCAGCTAATGGGAAGCGTCCCTTACAAACAGCCATTAAGTGCTCTGTCCTAAGAAAGTGGCCTATAGAGAGCATGTGTGTGTGTTTTACATGGCAAAACAGCAGACTTTTGCATGAGTGGGTGGAAGATCCATTTTTGTGGAGACAAAACAAACAAAAACAGCGATTTCTGTTCTTTTCAGAAAACAGGGGAAACCCAGAGGACCTTGAATGTCATGACATTATACTGAAAGGGATTGTGCGTGTTTTTTTTCTCTCTCCCTTTCACCTCTGTGGTGGAGATCGCTTGCATTACAGCTGACATTTTTCAGAAAATCAACAAGAATTAAACTCCCAGAGATTCTTCATCTTTTGCATATGGTTTTTTGCAGTTATTCCTTAAAGGTACAGTGTTCTGCATATGCTTAATGTGTTATGCTTTTCACATGGAATCAGCTGTTATAAGCTACTGTATAGCAAAATGTACTTGAGGTTGCAATAATATGAGGAATGATCTGAATTAAAAATACTCTTTTTCTGGCAGAAAACTGTTTGGTCTTAGTTTGAATTCAGTCATTTGCAGCACAGTAGATGCTGACTGTGTTATCTGTGGTCTCGTTCCTCCTTCTCTCTCTGAATACAACAAGTCATTTGAATCAGCACAGATTTAGGAGACACATCTGACAGTAATGTGAGAACTGCATCTGAAGCGCTAGAGTTTGCAGTTTCATGCTGCCCTCTGCAGGCACACACTGTACTACACCTATTATTTTAACTGACATTTTGGACCTGAGCATGAATAAAATTCCCTCTGACAGAAAATTCCTCACACTCAGAAGTGAGAGTAAAAACACAAACAGCCATCATAAACTAAACTTCCCCCTTAGTCAATATTATCTATTGTCTACTGCTCTGATAACTACACTGTATGTAAAATTAAGATAATGTATTAATCAAGTGATAAATGACACTATCAACCAGTAAGTTACTCTATAAATGGTTCTGGAAACTGATTTTCCCTGCACTATGTACCAGAGCTGGCTAATTGTTTCAGTCTTTGATTTGTCAATGGTTTGACATAGAAATCAGTCCTCTAAAAAATGAGTAACTAATCTGTAATACTTTCAAACCAATACAGACCTTTTCCAAGACAAGTTATAAACTTAAAGGAGCTCTATATGACATTCAGAGCATTAATATAGCTGCGCACAACTGTGTGCAATGTACAGATGTGGTGGAGTAATGGCGTCCTGAGCAGAGAATTAAGTCACACTTCCTTTGTGTGTGTTGTAATCCGAGTTTCTCTGTGTCTTGTGGTGCATGCATGTGAGTTCTGTGTTCAGACGACTGAATCATAGATATACTCTTAATGTTGTACACAGCTCCTTTAAGTGCACAATGGCAGTGTTCCTATATTGTAAATTAACATTACTGCCTAAATTTTAAAGTATTGTCATCTGTAAAGATCTTGGGTACATACTGTATTTAGCGCTTTTAAAAGGCAAACATCTTTGACAAAAAAAAAGGCTCATCAATAAAAAGGGGAGAAGTGTGTAACACATCAGGCCTGCTGCTGTTTTTTTTCTGACACAAATTCTAAGGAAGATTTGTTTGAACTCGGACTGACCAGTGGTGTAAGTCAGTGAGACACTTCCATCAGGACAAAATGGGAAAATGCCATTGCCTCGGGCCCATAACGTGTTTGTGATGCAGTAGCCTTTATTACTAGCCAGTGAGCACTTTACTGTAGAGCAATTATGTAATATAAAATAGTGTTATGTAAACCTGTTTGTGGTGTGATTCAGGATTCAAAGGTTTATTTGTCAGACAGAAATAATCTGTCTAGTGAAATGCAAAGTGCTCCCAAGGTTGTGCTGAAAGACCAGTGTGAAAAATGATTATAAAAGATATAATGAAACCATCAAGTATTAGTGGATAATAAAGAACGAACTGCGTCTTTCACAGCATTTAATCTGTTTTAATATGAATTAAATGTCTCCTCTATATAAACAAATCTGTATGAAAAAGAACACAGTACATAAAATAGTAAATACAGTACATATTACAAAAGTCAGGAAATATATTAAGCAGTATTCAATATAAACTATACAGTGGAAATGTTTAAAAGCAGTCAAAATTAGATCACTTTGTACAAGGAGTGTGCAAAATTAATGTCCCTGTCAGTGGACCTTGGTATACTGGCAAAAAAGTCTGTTAGTTCTTCTTCTCTAGACAAAATAGAAGAATGAATGTATCGAGTGTAGGATGTGCCTCTGTCACTAAGAGAGACTGTGCAAAAATATACAGATTAAAAAAATAAACACAAAGCCACAGGTCAGAAGGAGTCGCTGAACTCCGGTCAGTAATGGCTGAGCTCCTCTGGAGGAGGTGGGAGGTTGTAACTGTCGTCCCCTCCGATGTAGGCACCAATGCCGCCACCACCGCTGCTGCTCTGACTCCCCCACTCGTAACTGTCGGCAGCCAGACTGGAAAATCAAACAAGTATACATCCATTAAACAGCACTATTTGACCTCTGTACTTTATGTATGGTATCTTTGGTGATTGGATCGTGGTGTTTTTACCTGGCTTGGATGTTCTGAGGTATGACGCTCCACGCCAGGTCATCGTCGCTGTCATAACGCCTTGGGTTGTCAAAGAAATAAGCCCTGGAGGAGAAGACGTGACCAGGAAGCCCAGAACTGCTCTGCAAGAGGAGCGCACAAACAAGACAATAAACATTTCATAGTCTTACATTCACATCATTTGCTTACGGCTCAGAACGGTTTCCAACCTGACTGCCTCATGAACCCAATAAAATAAAGCAATATCTATGACCTTGTCACACATTGCACCAAAGAGTGAGTTTCCTTTGTGAAGCTGAACTACAGTGTGTTTTATCTGCCTTCCTCTAAATCATCTCTTGACCCCCAGGTTGGAAACTGCCAGCTTAGGGTACTTGCTGGCTCACCCTGTCTAGGTCGGGCTGCCGCACTCTGAAGAAGAAGACAAGGAGAGAGGTGGGGAGCAGCTCCCATATGAACAAGATCACTCCGAAGACGATGTAGCCTGCGTCGCCCAGAGTTGACTGTAAATCTGCCTGAAAAACAAAACACAACACATTCAGTATTGAACAGTCAACTCTGTTACACAGGGATGGAGGGAACTGTATTTCCTTAATGAAGTCATCATCAAGGACATAACCATCAATAAGGCAAACATTTTCCAAAAACAAAAAGGTCTTGCAGTTTTTAGAGGTTTCATTACATCTGGTCAACCTTCCTGAACAGTGCTATAAGAAAAAGCATGCTCTTTTCACATTACCTCATAAATCATACGGCATTATGCAGAGGTGGAATGTAACTTAGTACAATACAAGTGCTGTACTTAAAGGTGCTGTATGTAAGAATGTGGCCAAAACGGTTACTGCACTCAAATTCAAAATACTGCCGCAAGTCGTGTCCGCCCCCCCTCCCCTACAGATTTGAGGTTGCTGGACAGCGGCATGCTGGAGACTGATTTGTTTGCCCATGGGCGGCTGCCGTGGCAGGGCCGCGTCACCACGTCCTTGATCTTCGGTTTTCCAGCGGACCGTTTGAGCAAGTCCGGCTTCTCTGCTGCTAACGCTGCTGCCGGGATACAGCTGAGGAGACTGCTAATGCTATGTATTGGGACACTGCTAATGCTGCTTGCTGTGCTGCTGTAGCTCAGTCGTAACTGTAACTGATGCTGAGACTCTACTGACTGTGTGACTTGGAGAATGGCGGTGGGTGGCGCAACAGGCCAAAACACAAATTCAAAACATAAACATGATTTGCGGACCGTAAAAATTTTTTTAAAATGCAAATATTCTGGCTGTACTATTGTTGGTGAGATCAGTATGTTATATGAACATTATTCCTTAGTCTCTGTGACATATTAGGAGGATTTTATGACTATTTGCTTTAGATTTCTTACATATAGCTCCTTTAAGTAAAAATTTAAGGTACTTTAACTCAAGCATTTTAAACTCATGCCACCTTCTAGTTCTACTCCACAACACTTCAGAGGGAAATACTGTACTTTTTAGTTACTAGTTACTTTACATAAGGCTGTCTGAGTCACTGGCTTCGTTTAAGTCTCTCCTAAAAACATACTACGTACGGAAAGCATATCCTGACTTTAGCTGAGCTGTCTGTCTATTTTATTGCTATCTTATTGATTTTATTTCCCATTTATTATCTTGATTTTAGTATTTTGGCCTTCCTTATTTTATCTTTTACTAGATGACATTTTACGACATGTTATTTGTTTTATTCTGCTTGTGTTTTAATTATGTTTAGTTCTATTCTACAGCACTGTGTAACTGTATTTTGAAAGGTGCTGTATCAATAAAGTTTATTATTATTATTACTAGATTCTTGCATCTATACAAGTATTGCTGAACCGATTTAGTTGATTGATTAGAAAATTATTTGGAAACAATTTTGATAAGTGTTGAAATATTTTTCATGCAAAAAATGGTTTCATATTCTCAAATATGAGAACTTTTGCTTTTAATTATTTAAATTATTTTTGATCTATTAAATCAATTAAAATTTTGTCTGCATTGAGTACTTTTTCTTTTATTATTTTTCATACATTTCCCTGATTGTACTTATACTTAAGTAACATTTCAAATGCAGGGCTGTTACTAGTAACAGAGCATTTTTACAGTGCTGTATTAGTACTTTTACTTAAAGGTCCAGTGTGTAGAATTCAGTGACATCTAGTGGTGAAGTTGCAGATTGCTACCAACTGAAACTTGTCCCGTGTGCCAAGCGTATAGGAGAACTACAATGGCCGATATGAAAATGTGATGAAGAGATGGCCCTATCTAGCGCCACTGTTTGATTTGTCCCTTCAGGGCTACTGTAGAAACAACATGGCAGACTTCATGGAAGAGGACCAGCTCCATGTGTAGAAAACATGATGATTCTTATTTTCAGGTAATTATATACTAAAGAAAACATTATAACACATTATATTCCATTTCTGATAATATTTTCCACCTAGAGCATCTGAATACTTCATCTCCCACTGGCATTATGACTTCTGGTGGCTCACCTGGTCTGACACGTTGTACCAGTCGTAGTCAAAGGAGTTAATGCTCTTGTTTGAGAGTCCCAGGACGACCAGATTGTAGCAGGCCCTGGAAGAGTACAGGAGGATGACGATGGCTCCTATGACAGTCACCTGGCACACTGACGTCCCCTGCACAGGTTGAAGAGTTGCATTAAGAAATTACACATCATGTACATTTAGGAGGAAGTGACACATAATCACACAAACACGACATGGAAACTGATGGTAAGGATGGCTGTAATACATTTTGAATTCAGGTGTGACCTATTGTTTTATAGGCTTGTGAAGTACAACCAGTCATGCAGAAGAATGACACTGCGTTGCTAGGTAACAATCGCTATGTGCAAAAGCATAAATTATGCAGAGAGATGCATCTTCACACAAGGGTGCTATAAGCAGCACACAATACCTTTTACTGTCAGCTACACAAATCACTATGAAACAAAATCACGAGCCACTTTCATTCTGTGGATCCCAGAGGATGTAACTACAGCTACTCATGTTTGATTTCTCCTGCAGCACAGGGAGGTGTGTCTTACCTTGGATTCCAGGTAAATGTTGGCTAGTGACATCTTAGCGACCTTGTAAAGACACAAGGAGAGCGAGATGGCACACAGGACAAAGAGTGAGTCATTGATGGCGACCCGCACTAGCACGATGGTGTGGGCTTCTGCAGAGGACATCCTCACCAGCAGTGCACACACTAAATTTACTACTAAAAACACCAGGCTGATGAACAGGAAGAACAGGTACAGCGGCAGTCTGTGGGTCAGGAAACATAGTATTTTTTAAGACTTTAGCCAAAATAGTTCATGTTTTTTTTTTTTTTGTCAAAATAACAGAACAATATGGTTTAATGGAAAATCTAGTAGATGAGGTCACTGTCTGCTCTTACCTGTATCTCAAAAGCTCTGGTGCATATTTCGACTTTGCCTTGAAAACCACCTGTAAAGAGGAATCAGTCATTACTTAAGGCAAATGCGTCACACTGTTTAAGCAGCACATTTTCACTTCTGTATTCTCACTCTACGAACAAACAAAACACATTTTTCTGAGAACAGGAACCTGGCAGATGAAAATAACCGAGTTTTGAACTTTGGATACAGAATGGTCACACGGCTCAGGGCCACATGTACTGTAATGCTGTGTGCCGGCTCACTCTCAACTTGCAACCGTGACTCAAATCAGCACAAGAGGATTATGCTAAAAATAAGCTTTAGGTAGGGGCCAGAGAAGCTATTATTTGATATGTGGATTAAGTAAGCAGATGAAGGAATTCACTGTATCACACTTTGTAGCTGCTCTGAATGAGAGTGTAATATAGCAACAGGTAATATTTAGAGGATAGTTCTATTAGGGTCCTTGCTATCCAATGCAGTTCATATTACTGACAATTTCATATCAATTAGTTGGTAAATATTTTGTTTTAAACATTTTTTTAATGTACAGTTCGTTGCTCTGAACATCAATTTGATGATTATATAAAATTCTATACTTTTTTTAGCTTTTAATGTATTAGTATTAGAAAAATATTTGCATTTAGAGTTGTTAAAAATTAATTTTCAACAATTCTGATAACTCAGTAACACTTTTTGAAGCAAAAAATGTCATACGATCACTTTAAGATCAGGGAACTTGTGACGCACTAATGTCATAATAATTAATTCATTGAAAAAAACTATTGACAGATTAATCAATACTGGGAAATAATCATTGGTTATAAACTATTTTGCTTTAGGCATTGTATATTTAAAGATATATTACCTTTTTTCCAACTGTAAATTATGTCCGCAGAGGAAATCTTTGTCAACATCTGTTTCATCTAATAAAATGTTCATCTCACTTCAGCCATTTTTTTGCAGCTGCAAAATGTAACTAGTGGACTGAAAAAGCAATTGATTGTTTTTGTAGTTAGGTACCTGAAGTTTAATTTGTATTTGTAATATTAAGAAATTATTTAATTAAAAAAAAACTATACTTGGCACTGCACTAATAAGTTGCATATTGGACCACGATCGATTGGTTGTTCCAATTGTTTGTGAATTTTGTAAAAATGAAGAGGAAAACATAATTTTATAAATGTATTCTGGGAAAAAATTGAGGACTATTTTGACACTCAAAACAATCTTTAAATCAGGCTGGAAACCAACGATAAAAACAAAACACAAAACGTTCTGCAGACTGTCAACTTATTTATTCTACTAGGGAAACTTTGAATTCATAAATCCAAGTTTCCGAGTTCTTGCCCATTGTTTAAATTTCTCAGGATTTATTTTAGAGTCTATCCAAATTATGGACAATCAGAAATGTGCTCATATAGTCAGTATGCTACAGATTTTTTTTGAAGAAATTGAATGTATTGTCTACATTTTCTGATGTTATCGTACACTTTTATTTTATCTTTATTTTAATGTTTGTTATTGAGGTTTTTTGTTGTTGTTTTTTTGCTATCAATCAAATAATCAAAATTTCTTTATATAGCACTTTTCATACAAAAATAATGCAACACAAAGTGCTTTTTTTGCTATATCACCTTTACTTTATATTCTCCTGACATGATGATGTATAGTCCTGTTTAAAGTGGAATTATGCCTCTTATATTGTCCTTATTTCAATATGATGCCTATGCTTTGTTTTCTTTAATGTCTTAGTGTTACATTGTAGCCTAAATGATTATTTTACAATAAAAACACGTCTTAAACTCAGATTTCAGGTGAACACAGAGAAACTTTCCCTCTGTCAGTGTCAGACACTGCACATGCATCCTTCTGCACAGTGAAGGTCAAACATCCAGATAAAGAAACAATAAGTAAAACACATGTCTGAGTGGAGGAGGACTTTGAACCAGATCTCCTTAGACTCAGTAATCAAACTACTGACCCCTGTGATTGTATTAGCCTGCCAACTCACCTGTGCAAAGTAAAGGTTCATGAGACTGAGAGTGAAGAACTGGAGGCAGACAGGGAAGCAGTAGAGCAGCCAGAAGGGAAAGGGCCCCAGAGTGTTGGCTGTGACAAAGTTCTTGAAGTAGAAGGAGAAGAGCACGGTGCGCAGGGCCGACCACAGCAGGCACAGGGACAGGAACACGGTCTGGTAGCTGAAGCGCTTGTGTCGGTACCGCAGGACCAGCCAGAGCTGCACGTAGATGAAGATGAAGAGGAGGGAGTAGAAGACGGTGTACACCACCGTCAGGCCCAAAGTGACGTAGGGGGGCACGGCCGGGCTCAAGGTAGGTGGAGGCAGAGACTTGTCCATCGGCGACGGCTCCTTCTCCTCCACCGGGGCCTCCATGAACCTGCTGTCCCTGGCCGGAGGAGGAGGGAGCGGAGCGGAGCGGAGGGGGGCCTCTGCCGGTGTTCGCCGCCGGACTCTGGCTTCACAAACCCGGCTTCACAGCTCTCTCGCCCCGCGGAGGAGAGCTGAGCACCGCAGCGAAGAAAAAAAAGCCAGAAAAAGAGTGAGGAAGTAAATGCTGCGATTGTGGCTGTCAAGAGGAGGGAGAAAGGAAAAGCAAGAGGAAGAAAACAAGGCGAACTTCCTGCTGCAGAGCCGGAGACAGCCAGAGAGAGAGGCACATGATCAGTGATGAGAATGAGCCGTTTGTCAGGAGGAGCAGCGGCGGCAGGAAGCTGCTGAGAGCTGCAGCCAGCACAGCTCCGGCACAAGCAGAGAGGAGGGGACCGGCCTCCGCCTCCTCCACCTCCCCCTCCGCGCTCATTACGCGGCGCTACGCATCAGCTGACGCACGCTACTGTACCTTTAACCCTGTGATGGGACTTCCCACCGCTGCACTGATCCCAGGAGAGCGTCTCAGAGCTGTTAGACGTATTACTTTCATTTTAATTAAGTGTGTAAAAATATAACATACATAAGCATCATCATCAGTCAGTACTGGAGTGTTCAGAAACTCTATCCAGCACTTTCACGTACTGTATGTTGCCCTATAGTAAATACAGGTGACACATTTTACTGGTAAACTAATTTTTACACACAAGAAGGCAGAGGGAAGACATCACTGCAAAATCACCTCAGAAGATTATAGAAGTAAACTGCTGTGAAAGAAGTTTCTGGGCCTAGCTACATGTTAGAGCAAGCGTGTCCAAACTTATTGAATGGGGACCGGATTTAATTGTGTGACAACACCCAGGGGCCTGCTGCTTCTCACATCAGACAACTTACTGAAAAAAAAATCCATTACAATTAACACAAAGCAGGACACATCTGCAGCGTTGTATAAACAATAACAATGGCATTAACATGGCAATAACAATCATTTATCATCTCTGTTATATGATAGCTGATCTCGGAGGGTACGGAGCTTCCACACCTCATTGTCTTCCAGATTTGTGGACATTTTCAGCCCCTGTTCTTCTTCTATGAGCTAGCTGCTAACTGCTATCAGCTACTTTTTACCCACACTGGGTCACACACATAATATGTCATCAAAATGTCACACTGTGCCACTCATGATCCAGTTCTGCCAGCTGTCTCATTTATACAGACATCATTTTGGAGCTGTTACTACCTCCACTGCCCGCTTACAGGTGGGACAACTCTGTCTCCCATTCTGGGATCATACCTTTCATACAGAACAGCAAGGCAGCCTAAAAATTCTTGCCTTGAAAAGGCAGTGGAAAAGGGGCAGTCAGTTCTGCCTGTATGATAGTCCTGCCATTGTGAGGTGAACGGAAAAAATGCTAAGAGATTTAGCTTAATAAACCAATATTGTGTGGTGGGCCACATATTGTATATTTTGAACAACAAGCCGCAAGCTGTTTAAAATTTGTTCCGCAGGCCATGATTGGCCCCCGGGCCGGTCCTGAGACATCCCTGTGTTAGATTCATGGCTATAAGATAACATTTGTATTTATATAAATTAGCTGTAATTTATGTAGAATTATAAGTCATGATACATAATTATAAGATGGTGTACTCCACCTTTATTATTAGACGTAATAAATATGGCTAACTTACATTAGACAGGGTTGGTTGTTTGGGTGCCTTGAGGCAAAATAAGCCCCTATTCACCCCTTGTTCTTCAACTTATGAGTTGATTAAAAGAAAATGTATTTAATGACAACAAAATACTGAAAGACAAATCATACTGCAGAATGAAGGTATAATGAAAGTTGTGTGTGACCCCTGGTTGTCTCTGTCTCACTTCACTATAAACTATCAAATAAAGGCAAAAAAAAAAAAAAAAAAAAAAAAACTCAGGAGATACCTTTTTCAAAGAAACAACACAAAGACAGAATAAACCAGAAGGGTTTGTACTGGTAGATCAACACTTATTAGTTAATAAGGTTAATAATGATCAAATTGTATACATTTAAATTGTATTAACTAGCTTTTTTAACTAATGTATTTACTTTTTATTGATCAGTTATTCTAATTGCCACAACGTGAACCTGGGGTCTTTGGGGCCTCTCAGGGTCAAAGTTTCAGAGGTTCATCATGGTGAGAAGGAGTGAGTGTGATTAGCCTGAGCAGCAATCTCAGTGAGGTTTGTTATGGTTAGTAGTGGGAGGGTTTTTTGTTTCACAGGACAGGGGCATGTGAACATGAGGGAGGCCAAGGATGGAGGTCACTCCAGCTCACCTTTGACTGCTGTGATACATCAATCTTTTCGTATACGAGGAACCAACCACCCAGGCACCACACCAAACAGGATGCTGTCAGCTACAGTACTTCCCTCTTTGAATAGCAACTTTACTTAATAAAGAGAGTTGGCCTCTAATGTGCAACAGAACATGAGATCAGTGACATCATCAAGTGCTTTGTTTCACTTCTTTGTTTTCAGTAAAGAGACACTGCAACCGTGAATATAATAGCAGCAGAGCACTAGCTGAAAACCTACTACATATGGAAGCAAAAGATTTAGTCATAAAATGCAAAAATATGCAAACTATTGAATGCCTTGTTTGTTCCCAGAGTTCCCTCTGCCCGGCTCCAGCCCTTGAAATCGCCCACGTCTCCATTTTTGTCTGTGAATAAAAAAGAAAAATAATAGCGCTGTGACGAAATGGCACTTGAGTCTGATTATCAGGCTCCTGCCACCGACACATCACATCCCAGTCCGCTGCTGGTTCCCAGGCAACATGAAAACACACTCATTTTAACACTAACAAGTCACAGCTGATGAGATCACAGGCCCCGGGGTAAACATCCCATCAGCCACGAAGAGCCCAACAAGAGCCCAGTGTGTATCACTGCGTCAGTGCAGTGAATATCAACAGTGTTAATATATAAGAACACATATTGCTGTTGGGTGAACTACTTTTAGTTTAGTAGATAGAAGCACTGTTGGCAAGTCATACAGTCATGATGAATATGTTTTCTGTTCTGATAACATTAAACACAAATTAGCCCTCATTATTTAACATCATTGAATTTTTTTTTTTTTGGCATATTCTAATTTTCAATAATAAAATAAACAACTCCATATACATCTGCAATGTTAGTGTACACACATCAGTTTATGTTCATCTCTGAAAATGTTTGGAGAATATATGAAAAAACACAAATGCAAACTTCATTAAATGACCAGAAGGGGGCACCTTTCTACTGTGTAAAGATGGGGAGGCTGGTGACATCTAGAGTGAGAGAAATAATGTAGCAGAGGAAATAAAAATGTGTTGTTTAATTCTTTTATGTATGGTCTCTTTCCAAAATACTATGGTATCTAGCTTAATATATAAAATCCATATATGTTATACAAAGACTTGTTCCTGTATTGTACATCTTAAAATTCTCTTTTCATATAATAATTGAATTATAAATGTTTTAAGATGGCTTCTGATTTCAGCCTTTGTGGCATAGGAGAGAAAATATGGCGTAACTGGTGACCATAGATATATAAATATCCTACAGTTTCCAGCCTTATTAAAATAATAATGCTTTGTAAGCTAACAGCAGATTGAGAAATGTTGGGTTTAACTGTGTCCAGCAGTCCAGTAAATTTAAAAGAGAAGCATATTAGAGTTAAAAAAAAACATATTATGGATGTTTATGTTCTGCATATCACTAGAATATATTGCAGCGAGGTAAAGCCAAGACGTTGAGATGTTCATCATACCACACTGCTGTTAAAGAAAAGGACACCGAAACATTTCACTCACAAGGATTTACTGTGCCCTGTAAATTTACAGTAATATGGTTATTATAAATTTTGGCCTGAGGGTGGTGCAAGAGGGCAGCTCCACAAAAGAGTCCACAAGGGGCTCACCCTCCAGAACCTATTAGTCTTGTGACCCCTAAAACAAATCAATGTCTACTTTGGACCCTATGTCACAAGTTAGACTTCAGTTTGGATGTTTTGCGTCTTTGATTATTTAACTTGACGTTTTTAGAGGCAGAAGAAGTAAAAAAAACAAAAAAAGTCTGGTACTTCAAAAGCAAAAGTAAGACAAGAATACATGAACAGTCTTGTGCAACTAAATATGTATTTTCCATTCTTACAGCTTTACAGGGGGAACTCTGCCAATTTTACACGAGGATCAGTTTACTCCTTCTGACGAATTTTCTGTTACAGTATGTGGGTGTTTACCAGGCAGTGACAGATCCATGATACACAATCTGTACTTTAAGTTTTGATATGTCTTGTGCAATAAAATCTTGGCCTGGTGGTGGACATGGGAAAAGATCATGGTCGTCATCATACCAAATCTATAGTAAAAGTCTCAGCTCCATTTGGAGGTCATTTGTTAACTTATTTTCTTTTTCAAAATGCATTTCCAGAGTGTTGGCAAAAGACATTTTGATGTTATCACCAAACAAAAGGTCAGAGGTCACAAAATAGTCATTAGAAATCAAGGGGACCATGGATACCCATATTAAAATGTCATGGCAATGTGGCCAACAGTTGCTCAGATAAGTGGACCAAAGTGTTGGATGGATGACTGATCATCTGTTAGCAAGGCAGAAACAGCTCCGAGTTGAACCACGTTACCAGCATGCCCCTCATTATCCCAGCTGGAGTCGAGTCTGATAGCCACAGCGGGATGCCTCAAATGATTAGCGTATGGTACAGTGCTCTGTGATATTGTCCTTTACATAATGTTTCAATCAAACCGGCCATGGGGCTCTGTTGCTGGTAACTGGTCCATGCTCTGATGTCTATGCTCTGATGGCCCCTTGGCCTGTATCCAAATCTGCTAATACAGTCCAGTGTTGTCCCTCGGGAGACACTTGGACCTCCCATACAGTGGCCCCTGTGTTAGAGTACCTTATCATCCAAACAGTGATGGCTGCTTGCTACTGTGTTGGAAATACTGGTACAGTGAGTTTCAAATCAGGGTCTTAATCAAGAGGAGTCCCTCACTCCTATGTTACCTAAACCCTGTCTCCTCAACTCTATGTTCCCTCAGCCCTATGTTCCTTTAGTCCTACATTCCCTCAACGCAATGTTCCTTTAGCGCTATGTTCCCTCAATCCTATGTTTCCTCAATCCTAGGTTCCTTTAGCCCTATGTTCCCTAAACTCTACATTCCCTTAGCTCTGTCGTCCTTCAACCCTATGTTCCCCCAACCCTAAGGCCCTTCAGCCCTATGTTCCCTCAGCCCTATGTTACCCCAACCCTACGGTCCTTCAGCCCTATGTTCCCTCAACCCTATGTTCCTTTAGCCCTATGTTCCCTCAATCCTATATTTCCTCAACCCTATGCTCCTTCGGTCCTATGTTCCTTCAACCCTATACTCCCTCAGCCTTATGTTCCCTCAACCTTATACTCCCTTAACCTTATATTCCATCAACCCTATGTTCCCTCAACTCTATGTTCCTTCAGCCCTACATTCTTTAGTTCTAAGTTCCCTCAATGCAATGTT